ACCGTCTGCCCCTCACCTCAGCTACAAGGATGTTCAGCTCAAATGAGTGCGCGCTGTCCTCCTTACGAATGCACACGCTCGTGTTTTAGTTCTGTAATTAGCAATACTTTCATTAAGTCTTTACCTGTTCAACATAAGCTACCACAGAGAAAGAGGAATTTAAAAAAAAATGCTGATGGAATAACATCTCCTCACTTGACTTTGATGGATGTTTTTTCTGGGATTCACAGAAGGAATTTGAATCTCCAGGTTGTTGCCGACACTCTGATTATTAGGAGAACTGGGCCTGATCTCCCTTAGTTTCCACAGAAACATCTACATTGACTTTTGACTTGCTTAAGCAAACACCTCAAACAAAATACTTCTGTTTTATCAGAAGTTACCTTCTAAGTCTCTCACAAAGTTATTAATTCTTCTTTTGTACATATTTTCTTGCTTTTTTTGTCTTTGATCCTTTTGAATTGTTGGTTTTAGTTCAGATAGCCATCTAGTAATACAGGATCTGAAAGATCTGCATCTGCTTCTCAAAATACAAAATAAAATCTCTGCTGCTCTGTTGGGAATCACATCTGTTGCCACCCAGGGAATGATGCCTTCAGGACTTTTTCCTTAGAAATTAATTTCCTTTTGCCTGCTTTACTCTGTGTTTAATGGTACAACTGTAGACACAAAAAAACCCCAACAACCTAACCCAAAATCACCAAAAAACCAAGCTCTTGGCTTCAATAAAGAAAATACTAAATTTTTCTTCAGCAATTGTGTGTTAACTTTTTCTCTAAGAATGCATAATAGCAGGAGGTCATCTATTGACTAACACCATTTCTGGAAGATTTACTAAACTGAGCTTTCTTTTTTCATCTAGTAATTCTTCATATTAGCAACGTCCCGAAAGTGTGGAATTGATAAGTAGGTCTTGAAAAAGCATTATTAGAAGTAGAAGGACTCTTTTGCTGTTCTCAAGTCTGCTCACGGTGATAAGTTCAGCGTAAGAAGGCTCGCGTTTGGGATATTTTTCCCTCCTGAAGTGGGCTACATTGGAAAATCTGCCTCTAGCTATTTGAAAGGCTTACGTTTGGGAACATAAAAGATGCGTTTTTGTGTCATGGTATGTTACTTTTTGACTAAAAGACTGAAATTTAAGCCAGAACTGCTGCTGCAGTTGTAACGCCACCGATCGGTAAGAAACTGTTGGGAATGTTTCTGTCCTGTTTGGGGGTTTCATTCATTAGGATAATTTAGAGGTAAATTCTTAATTGGCACACATGGTAAAATTTAACTTCCTTGTGGGTGACTGAAAAAGGTGTATTTTGGTTTTATTTTTTGCATAAATTTTTGGGAGAACTTTCCGAAATGCAGCTGCCTGTGTTTGTCTAATAACGCGTCAGGTTTATTGTGACTGTTGGAAGCTTTGCACTCGTGTTAAGAAGCATGAACAAGCTGGAGTTGTTGCTTCTTTTCTTCCTGTGTTTTATTCTGATTTTTTTATATTTACTTATTCCAATTTTGTGTGGCAGGTACAGGTGGTTTTGCAGCCTCTTTTCAGGTGTTGTGTATTACTGTAGCTGATAGAAAGGATCGCATAAGTAACGTGTAAGATGCAAGTACTGGAGGAGGATTGCCGGAGTGTTTATTTCCACGTCTTTGCAAGTTGATTCTTTTTCCTCACCCATTTTCCTAAACTTCCTTCCCTGGCTCCTGATTGTTGCAAGATAGGAAAATCCGTATTTTCCTACTCACAAGCTTTTCTTCTCTGCTTGCTGAGAAGGGCTTGGGGAACACACAGCTTTTCCACCTGTCTCCCTTTCCCTTCCCAAGCACCTCTTGAAGTTGGACTCCTTTACTGGTGTCAAAAGAAATAATCTTTCTGTATAATAATCAGTGGGCTAATTTTGTTTCCTGCTCAGTTTTCCCAAGCTGCAATTACTGAACGAGTAGGAAGCAGGTTTGACAGTTGCCTGCTGTCTCAAATTTTGAGTAGCGTTTAGTTTCACAACTCCTAGGGAGTGTTTATTTTAATTTAAAGGCTTGGCAAGACTGAGGGTAGTGAGAAGATGTTAGCCTGCTTGGGAAGTAAGGAAGGTGGTGCAGATTTACTTGGAAATTTCTTGCAATAAACGTTGTTGAACAGAATGGCTGGGTTTAGGGGTTAGTGGGTTTTTTGGTTTTTTTTTTTAATAAGAAATTGAGATTTTAGTCTCTCAGATTTGTTACTGGAAACTTTTGTGTTTCTCATGCAAAATGGAGATTGGCTTTTTCTAATCTATAATTAAAACAATTAACAGAAGGTCTCAATCAAAGTGTGTCTTCTAAAAGCAGGAGCAGTAATTTCTTATGGTTTTATATGATTGCTGTAAGAACAAAATAATCTTCTTATCCTTTGTATAAAGGTAACCACAAATGTCTGAGTTGCTAACTCTAGAAATCAGGAAGGTTGTCTTCCTGGGCTGATTTCCAACCTTGGGAATGTTCTACTTCTTGTGTGAATTTTATAATAATGTTATGCTTATTTGGGGGAGAATTTATGCATTTCAAATAAATCTTAAAATATTCCTCTTTAAATTCAAACAATATTACTGTAGAAAATATCTTCAATAATACGTAAAGAAACATGAATGGGAAGCGTAATTTTTATTTTAATGGTAGAGGGAGAATTTGGAAGGATTATCTAGTGCTGGCGATAGGGGAAGATGTGGTTTGATAGTATGTTGTGATGGTACAAAAATTGAGATGAAGCGTCCCTGCAGCAGATACTGCCAGTAGTGACAGACATCTGGAGCGTAACTGGGGAGGACACGAGACTTTCACAGCCCTGCCGACTCTGTGAAGATCGCTGGCAGTTCCGGCCTTATTAGCTGCATCAACACTGTTGCCCACGCTGGTCCTGACACAAGCCGCGATGCCGTTGGCCTTCCGGGCCACCTGGGCACCCTGCTGGCTCCCGTTCAAGTGGCTATAATTAGAGCATATGTCATGCTTTTAGTCTCCTCCTGTGGATTTTGGCATACCGAGACAAAGGCATGATATAAAAATAGTCTAGATAAATAAAATCCATATGAAATATCTTATTCTGCAACTTTTAGTTATAGGTAACTATCGTATTCTCCATATTAAAAATACTGGAGAAGCTTCAAGAATATCCTGGTTATTACCACGTTGTGTTTGTTTATCATCGGATGTATGTATTTTAGTGACTCAAACCTGTGTGGTTAAATATAAGAATCACTTTCTACTGGATTAATTTCATGTCGACTGACTAACCGTAGCAAAAGTTTTAGGAAGGACTGTTTCCAAAACCCTTTTAGGTGGGCTGAGCAGGGCAAGGTGGGTGGTAGTGACCTCTTCTTGCCGCATGTTCCCATGGCAGAAGGCTGAAGCCTCCCGCTGTTAGAGCTTTTCCCAGCTCAGGGATGTGACCATCTGGCAGAGGTGGAGGCAAAGTGTCAGATGGTGACTGGCACCCTGTAGGTTCTTACAAATGTGAAGCAAAAATGCAAATTTCCTGCATTTCAGCTTATTCTGGTTGGGGGCGAGATCTGTCAGGTTTGGACGGGATGCCTTCACGACTTGCTCTGGACACCTCTATGGAGGTTGGGTTTTTCTTCTTTAAATTTCCTAATACCCAGTGCAAGCTCTTGTGTTGGCTTCCGACAGGCAGTTCTTCTTTCTTGTATATGAGACGTTTTGTCTTTTTTTTTTTTTTTTTCCCCAAGCTTTTATTTTTAGCCCTGTTGGCTTCTTGTATATGAGAAGTTTTGTCTTTTTTTTTTTTTTTCCCAAGCTTGTATATTTAGTCCTGTTGGCAGCTTGAAGGTGGAACCAGTGATTTCTTCCAGCATGACTAACCCTGATCTTTCTCCACAAACATTGCTTTAATTAACTAAACTGATGCTAACTCACGATTCAATCCTTCTTTCCAAAACAAAGATTTGGAGGGGAGGGGTTTTGTGGCCTTCTCACGATTATTTTTTTTGCTGCTTTGTGATATGCTGCTTCTTTATTACAGGAACGCTTACGCAGAATGAGATGATATTCAAGCGCCTCCACCTAGGTACGGTGTCCTATGGAACAGACACAATGGATGAAATTCAGAGTCATATTATAAACTCCTATTCACAGGTATCTCATAAATTATTTACCTTTAATATTGAGATTATTTTTTTTTAACAGCCGCGGAGCACTGTTGTTACTGATTACATCCAGAAATTTGATATGCTAATGAAGTACTTTCATTTGTGGATATCTCTTAACAGACATGATACAAAGAATAAAATGTGAGACACAGTTCTCTCCTGATTCTAAATTTGCTCGTAATACCCACTTAAGGGAGTTGACTTTTCTGTTCCCTGCTAGCAGAAATCTCTGTTAACCTGTCTGTGCAGTGCAGCCTTTCTCCTGCCAAATCATCCAAGAGTAAGCTATTAATTACTGAGATGCAAATAACACCTAAGTGTCCAGAACAAGATGAACAGTAATTATATCTTTGAAGATATTCATCAAGAATAGAAACGGAGAAGACACATTAATTGGCATAACCAACAAGTAAAAAATCTATTGTCAAAATAGAATTCGTAAAGGCCGATGTAAAAGGTGTTTTTTAAAAAAAATTAACATGATTGCAAACAGTCTAAAATTTTGACTGAGGGAGAAAATGGTAAACTATATTGCTTGAGAGCAAAGTGTTCCTGAGAGATAAATGAGTGCTTGGCCTGGAAATTGTGCAAGAGGATTGTGGCTCCCTGGCTGTCCACAGGTGGTCTGTGGGATGGAGGAGGAAGGTGGAATTCTGTGAGCATCACTTGCATCTTCAGCGTATGCCAGCTGTTTGGGTGCTTTCTGCAAACCTTTCGGAGCACCTGAGCCCACCCTGAAATTAGGAAGGATTTGTTGCTTTACTTTTTTATTTCTATTGTTGAAAAGCAAAGGAAAAAAAATTGACAGAAGAGGAAATAAATGCTAGGTTAACCAATATTTCTGTATGTTGTGTATGGTATGATGATAAATTTATGCAAAAGTTAATTTGGATACACAACCCTGAGTGGCTGACCCAGTTAAGCTTGTAGACTGACCCCCTTGTCTGTGCCCTCATTTTCTCTCGTAAAAGGGTTGTAGGATTAGGAATTGATTTGAATATTTAGTTGTGCTATGTTCTGAACTGTGTCTCTCTTCTCATTTGCTTAAAACAAAATGAAAACATAAAAAACAGCTGTTAGATAAAACGCTGGGCTTGGTTAATATTACGTAGCTTTTGGTGAGAGACGCAGGAGCAGAAGCAGTGAATAAGCAATGTATGTTGTAAGTTTTTAGTCTGCAGCTTCCATTTCTGTATTATTTCCCATCTAAACAGAGCAGCAAATTCACTTGCAATTCTTTTTCCTGGGATAAATCTAGTTCAGCTTCATTCTTAGTAGGCAGAGCCATGAATAGTAACCGAGATGAAATAATACGCCTTGGAAATGAGGTACGGAGGTGTTGAGGTGAAGCTCAGCAGCCCAAATTTGGTTCAGAATGGGTTACGGAAAGTAATTGCTACCTGACGGTGTTTATTAAAATCAGCCAAAGAGAGTTTCGTTATAACGGGTCGTTTGGGTATTCCCGGCGACAACTGTAGCGAGAAATAATATTAACTGACAGGCTTGAGGGGCACAGCTCGGGCTGGCTGCGTCTGGGGGCTGAGCCCCAGCGTATTTGTCAGCATGGGTTTAGTCTTTTGCGGTGAAATAGCTCTCTGACGAGAATTGTGTGATTCCTGGAATTCTGACTTGCTTCAAGCTTTTACTAGTTTGCTGTAAAATTTTAATAAGTGGTACCCATAGTTAATTGTTTTTAATAACTAGCATGTTTGGCACCAAAATCTTTGAAAAAAGTAGCGACTGTGAGGGAAGCTTTCTTCCTCAATCGTGGGGAAAAAAAATCCCAAATCTAGCTTTGCTGCTAGTAATGATGAAAGGAACTTTCTTGGAACTTCCTTTTTTTTTTTTTCTTTAGCTTTTCTATAACACCAGTTGATGTTTAAATAATGCCTTAATTACACACGCGTTGGTAGCAGCTCTTTAAAACAGAAAAATGAAGGAGTCTCAGTAACAAAATGAGCAACTATTAAACAATTGTTTCAGTCTGAGAAAGTATGGTGAGGTTTTTATTTAATCTGTGATAATAGAAGCTGCCAGTTAGCTAGGCAGTGGTTCTTGTGTGACATTGATTTTATCCCTTGTTTGTGTTCTGTTTTATTATTACAGTGGACCTACTAGACTATTGTCATCTTAATGTAACACACAAATCTATTATAACCTGATTATATTTCCCCACTGGAAGCATTTTGTGATAGAGGGCATAATCTTTAATGGAATTTGTGTGAAATTAAATTATACAAGCATCAATAAACATAACATAATTCAGAAGGAGTAAATCAGCTTAATTTATTTGCGGCTGTAATGGCATCAGCGTTAGCAGAATGCAAATGCAGAGGTTTGAAGCAGTAGCTGAAAAGCAGTGCCAGATGAGCAGAAAGTTAAACCCTTTATTAGACAACACTGTAATTTGATGGGCAGAATGTTCACGGTTCA